AGGGATAAATTTAGACAAGCCTGTCATGCAATCAAATATTAAACTATATTTGATCAGTTGCCGGTCAATTTCAACACTGCATAGGTTTAATTCTCATGAGACGCAGAGTATATTTTGAGATTATCTAAGAAAACCCTTGGCCATTTGACTCGTGTTCTTACAGAAACGTAAGTAGTTATTAACTGATACAGTTTATGATGGCCTGTTTGAAGGTTACCGCTTTCCTTCATATTGATCCGACTCTATGCATCGTGTTTAAGCTTTAGAAAATATAATCCATAAACGCTTCACTACAATGAAACCGCGACAGTAATTAGGAAGTCTCTTCAAAGGGCCAATTGAAGAGCACAGACAGGTCGTCTTCAACCTGCAAAGTAAAATCTTTTCAGCAGGCACTCACACAGGCAACCCCTTTGGGTCTCATGCAAACAGGCCTCATTACGGCTGCATAAAAAGTCTCTGCACAGCAACATGTCTTGCATAATGAATGGCGTTTTCATCCTTTAATGAGTATGCTTTTTGGTATCGGCTCCCGTAATAATATGCAATCGGGCTTCACAAACCGCATAATTCTCTCACATGATTTTTAATCTAAGGTTAATGGGCAGTGTATTCCTAAGGTACAGAAAGAAAATACCTGGTGTTTATAGGACAAACGGAAATCAATTGAATTGATGCAACAAAAACAAAAAAGTAAAAGAAGAGAGAGAAACTGAATTGAATCAATTTGTGATTCAATTCGATGGCTAATTGCCCACAGAATAATGCCTACTTCATGTGCTCTAGAAATTAAATTTGAATCAAGTAATCAGTGCAAATAATGTATTTTTTCCACTAATCAACAAAAGCAAAAAGGAATAAAAAATAAAAATAAAAAACTGACCACCTGAAGTGTCAGTGCCCTTACAGCCTGTTGAAGCAGTGAATATTAGTCCTATAAGGGAAACGATTGTTTAACGCTTTCCTGAATACCTCAGATATGTGACAGAAAAAAAAAATCAGTGGTGGGGACTGGTAGCTAAAAACTTAGTTATACTGGCATAAGTAACAGAAGCTAATGCCAACGCGCTAACTTCAATTCAAATGATATCTGCCCCTGAAAGACTACAATCCTCCATGTTTTTTTTAAAGCAGGACATTAATACAAAGAAGCATCATAAAGTCCTGGTACATTACATTTTCTATTGACCCAAAAGCAGGAAAGACTTCAAAGTCAGTCAATACATCCATCATCACCATCAGGCACAGAAACATTTTGACACTTACAGCAAAATCTGTGACTTTATAATTTGTGATCAAAAGAACTTGTGACACTTTATGACAGCTGAAGCTTGAATAGTTAAGAGGAACTCTCTCTGTGCTGCTAGAAAAAAAAAAGAAAGAAAGACTCACAAAATTAGGGCTTGAAATAAATGCACAACTGTAGTGTTGGCTCTAGAGATGTTTAGGTGACAAGAAGTCTAATTAAAACCAAACCAAAGGATTTCTAACGAGGTTAGATTTGCATATACATTGATTTACATTCCGGCGTTTGGTTCTCTTTGAAAAGCCCTTTTCAGGTCGCAGACTACTCTAATATCCAGAAGTGCTTTTGTCTGAACTGCTGTCAGCCAAGAACTCGAAGCCGACAGAATACCACAAAACACTTCTGATTCTGATTTCGACAACAGCCTGGAAAACAGTTCTCAGAAACAGAAGAAAAGAAAAAGTTGGATGAGCAGCTGCGATGTGGGGATGAGAAAACGATTTTCCATCAGCACTGCGCGACCAAACGCATCCAGCTTTTCTTACTGGCAGAAATTTGTTTTATTCAGTGTCCTGTGTTTAGTTGAGACCATAACGACTGGCAGTTACAGAGGGTTACATTTAATTCTTGGCATTGTGGGGGGTCTGTACTACATTGACACAGCAATGTTCATGCTAAAAAACAGTTTCTTTTTTGCATGGTCGTTCATTCTACTGAATGATGATGGCAGTGTGAAGAGAGTTAAAAAGTGTGGAAAATTCAGTTCCTGTTATTTGCTTTTAGTTTGTGTTAAAATGACAAACTGGGCTTTAAAAGGCTCACCTAACCACACAGCAAAAACTCTGTTGATGAGTGTTTACTGGGCCGGTGACCCTGGAGTTAATTGTTTCTCTTTGGCATCTTTTACTGCCATACAGAGGTAGGTGCATTGTTTTCATCAAAGTAAAAAGAACAAAGAAAATCATCCAAATGGAAAGGTGGTCTGGCTTGTTAGAACTGACAGAGTGAAGTCCAAGGTAAGTTTTTTCACATCTGTTTTGACTCAAAAGAATAAACGACTGTGGTGGGTGTTTTTGTTGTTAAATCTTTTCCTCCATCTCTTTTAACTGCTTACACACACACACACACACACACACACACACACACACACACACACACACACACACACACACACACACACACACACACACACACACACACACACACACACACACACACACACACACACACACACACACACACACTGCAGCGTACATAACCATGTATATGTGTGCCTGTCGGCAGTCATACATGAAGAGACTGAAACTGTTCAGGGGACCCTTTAGGAAGGGTACAGGTTGCAGAGAAGAATAAAAAGCTGAACTTGTGCTACAGTCTTGGTCTCACTTGGCTCCATCCATAAGTGTTGCCCAGCGCTGGACGGTGAATGAGGCTCTGTATCTGTTCTATTTGTATGACATGTATGGCTGGTAATATTTGATCATTCCTTCAAATCAAATCAAATTTTACTTGTATAGGACATTTCAGCAGCAAGGCATTTCAAAGTACTTCACATCATAAACACAAAAACACAAAGTCATGCATCATAGAATAAACAATATATTGTTACATATTACGTTTCAAATACAATTCTAAACAGGTGTGTTTTTAGGTGAGATTTAAAGGAAGTCAGGGTTTCGGCTGTTTTACAGTTTTCTGTAAGTTTGTTCCAAATTTTTGGTGCATAGATGCTGAAAGCTGCTTCTCCTCTCTTGGTTCTGGTTCTGGGGATGCAGAGCAGACCAGAACCAGAAGACCTGACAGGTCTGGAAGGTTGATACAACTCAGATCTTTGATGTATTGTGGTGCTATACCGTTCAGTGATTTGTAAACTAACAACAGTATTTTAAAATCTATTTTTTTGAGATACAGGGAGCCAGAGGAGGGACTTTAAAACTGGTGTTATGTGCTCTAACTTTCTGGCATTAAAGCCTGTTTTTATATACAACTAAATCTCATTATTTCTCAAGGTTCTGGTCGGGTCCTGAAACTGGTCCTTTTACTCACCAACTACTTCAAGACAAGTGGAAAATTACTAAGGAAGTACTTCATTTCAAATTCAAAATAAGAGTCTGAAAGCTAAACACAAGGTATTGAGACTGAATCACTCGCATTCATCTACAGGGTCAATAATAACTTCTTGAATATTATAAATTATATAATTCTTCCCAGCAATAACGGGACACCACTTTGCAGGAAAACCTTACAACATGAAGAGGCTCAAATAAAAGGAATATAAAAGCTCTAATATTTTGTTATTTGTTCCATAAAAAGCAAATGACAAACTACACACTTTTTGTAACACTAATGAAGCTTCTGATACAATACATCAGTGCAGACGGCATCAAGAAATTAAAGAACTTGTGGCTACAGCTTAAAACTTCCTTTTAGTGAAAACAGTAAACTTACAGACCTGTAATTTTGTTGCCTCTCCTTTAATTTCTCTGAGCCCTCCCATCAACCTCCTTGTCAGTCCGACTCAGAAAACCCTCGGCTGCGCTCTGTCAAGCTCCTGCTCCATTTAGTTACATTTAACCCTGAATGTTCCCAATTATAGCACTTCCAGTCCAGCTTGCTTGTGTCTCGGACAGAAACAAGAGAGCAGACTTTCATCAGCAAAAGCAACTGGAAATGCTTTTCTACCAATATCAGAAAAAAAAAAAAATGCTGCCAACGTTTTTCTTTTCTTGTAAATCTCAAAGCATATTTCAGTTCAGTCTTTTGTATTTTTGTTTAGTACTAAAATGCACAGCAGATGGCAAATTATAACCCATGCCTTTGTTGCACTGCTCTTTATGGGATACCGGAACTGCCACCAATCAGCAAACCGCAATCTATTATCGTTAAAAGGACGACTGTGGATTTTACACTTGAACTGAAAAAAGAAAATGAGCAGCTTTGACAATGGCTGCACATCTTTTCCCAAAGCCCTGTCTTCCTGCTACAATTCAGGTTTTTCATAAGAAAAAGATAAAGTTGAATGATGCATAGAAGATAACAGACAACTTTTGTTGTGAAGACCAACTTGCATGACCAACTACTGAGGAAGACGTCAACTGACTGAGCTGACCAAGAGAGGAAGCACGATTTAGATTCATTAGTCAACCACTCGTGTGGAATTAGCTTTTTGCTTTTAAATCTGTCTATAATAACAGTAAAGGTTAGTTATAATTGCCCATTTTACTAGTTCAAACATCAAATACGCTGTAATAAACATCAACACGCACAGTGGAAATCATCTTAGCCGTAGCACAGACGTCTTTGTCTCCAAAATTGGGGGCATAGCCAATCAGCACCCAGGAAAAATAAATGGCACTTCTGGATTGGCTGCTTTGCACACACCAGCCAATAATGTATCCAGTAGCTCTGAATTTGGTATTTCAGCTTCCCAAGCTGCATTTCAGTAAAACTTTAGATGTGCGTTGGAAAATATCTGAATATTGAACCATAAATAGGTGGGAGGTCAACTATAGAACCTATTACATATTAACACATTACTTAAGACTTAAGATTTAGAAATTTCAGAAGAAAAAAAAATTACAATGATACAATTCCCAAAAATTGTGTCATTAGAAACTGATGCGATTTGGGAAAATCTCGTTTCCAAGTCGAGTTGGTTTGCCACAAAGTGTTATGCAGCACAGTACTGCAACTTATTCTGGTATTTCAGCTGTTTCTACTTTCCAAATCTTTATTTTTTCTCGCTCCCTCTTACCTGGGATATTATGGATGGTGATGGCAAGGATAAGCAGGAGAATTCGCCGCCACCTGTTGGCCGTTTGGCCAACTCCTTCTGGTGTTTTACTTCCTGCTTCTTGTCCATCAAAGTGGCCTGAATTGGGGCCTCTTCTTCTTTGGTAGACCTCTCCATATTCAGTTTTATCTGTGAAAAAGAAAATCACAGAAAGATAAAGTAACACAAACATTAAGCAACATCCTCAGAAATGGATTACCTGAAGAATGCACCTAAAACCTAACTTTCTCAATACTCCATCCCCCCAAAACAAGCAATACTAATGGCATCTGTTACTCTGTTATGGAGTAGATAAGACTAGCTGAATCGGGCAGCTTCCAGGTGTGAAAATGTGCAAATGTGACAAGACAAAACCAAAAGCTCTCCTCTGAGTGAAGTGGCCCTAGATAAAAGGTTAGAAAAACCCTGAAGGGCTTCAGCATGCCTCAAATTAACGCCTTCAGTTTACTCCCAACAGGAGTGCTTGTCAGCTGGTGGAACAATGCCTGAAAGCTGCACACTGCCAGCTGCCACTGACAATGTCTATTAGGCTCCAGAGTGGAAAATCAAATGAGCAGGCCCACTTCATGCAGTGAATGGGCAGCTGTGTGGCGAGTCAACTCCTCTTCCAGAGCCCCTGTCTCTCCTTTCTTCACATACAAAAAGATTATGATTGACTATTGGGAAGACGACGAGGATATTTACATATCCGACCCCGGCTTCAAAAGATCGCCATGAGGCCCTCAAGAAGCTATTGAGTATTGCTTCCTAATGCGGTCAGATCACATGTAAATATTAGCACTTTCTGAGTAAAAGCCGCCTTTTGGCTCTAATTGGATTGCTTGGCAGATCCAGAAAGCTGCTGTAGGCCGCGAAAGTCCCAAGGGAGTTACAATGACATGGGGAAATCTGCATATCAAATCAGCGAACATCAAAATGGGCTTTACATACATTTAGCAAATATGCATTGGCCTCTGTAATTACTTGGAGCCCTGGTAGTCTAAAATAAATCAACCTCTCATGACTGCAGCACAGTTGCAAAAACTTTGAATTGAGTACATGTAATGGCAAATGGATGGTTCTACAGCAACAAAGCACTGTGATCAATTCCTTTGAAGCTTTTCCCTATGGGCCTTGCAGAATTTCCATGCATGGGTGGGGCAATGATTTAGTTACTAGAGGTTTTAATTACTTTAAAGTTTAAGTGGAAGTTTATAAAGGTTCGTATTGTTTGTCTTTTGTTGCTCTGTAGTGGATTGGTGACGATCTTTCTCGATCTTGTTCAGATTGAGACCTTCCCTATTTTTATTAGATTGTCTAGCTCTCATTCTGTCTTCTCTTCAGCTCAGGTTCTCTACATGCAGAGGAATGTTGACTTTATTTTGGGTCACTATTCTTTCATAGTTCAATGATCTCGATTGAAAATGGCGTGTTTCGAAGCGTTCCCAGCAACCTTCACACCAAAAATAGTGTAACAGGACGAGTATTCGTCTCACAAATATCCAGTATTGCCCTGTTGGATTGATATGACAATCCAACAAGTTATATTCTCAAATATGGGAAAAGTCCTCCCTATAATTGTCTAAAAATTTTTATGGTTGTGTAATCTATGAAGGCGTTGCAGGGTTTTCTGAAAACTAGGGTTGCCACCTTTCAAAAACAAAAATAAGGGACGCCCACCAAAATTGTACTCAATCAGAACAGCATACCTTTAACATGTTTATACTTGAGTAGATTTACGTAAACTTTAATTAATTTCTGACTTATGAACACCATTTGCTTTAATTAAAGGTTGTATTTTCTTGTTTTTTTCATTTTGAAAAGTGGACAAGGGACATAGCTATATTTCAGGAAAAAACAAAATGATGAATTACAAGTATGGTTATGTCGATCTATTTTAACAGAACCATTTGGGATGGCAATAGACATTTTTGTAGACGTGATTCCTTTTTCATTTTTACTGTGAGCTTATACGGCTGCAATAAAGATGACTTATGCCTTTTTGCACATTTTTACCATTGTGAGGAACACTATGAAAGCTCTATGAAACAACGTCACAATTCACATTGTGGAGAAGTCCAATATTTTTCCTCCACTCTGTATTTTATTTGCTTTAACTGCTGAAAACTCCATTGGCAAACTGCTCTGAATGTGCAATTTCATGCTGCAGTTTACCAGGTAGCTGGAGGTGTTAAAACAGAGAGGGTTTCAAATTCTTTCCATTAATATTCAACATATACCCTTTATGTTCTGATTTCTTTCATCGTTCTACGTCTTCACCTTGCAGTAAGAACGGCGTGACTCATAATGATGAACCTCTAGTGGCTGAAAAGCTTGTTTGACCCAACCCTTGAGGAAAAACCATTTAGAAGTAGAATGAACAGTTTTCTTCTTTAAAAGGCAAATCTGAACTTTGCTCTGCTAAGTTATGAACATTAATTCAGCTTAGCAGCTCAGTGTGAGAGATGTAAATCAACTTCTATGGCTATCACTCGGGCGTCGATTGAAAAACTGATCTGTTTTGAGAGGCATTAGTATTCAGCCTAAAGACACACACAAAAAAAAAAAAAAAAGAAAAGAAAAGTAATCCTGCAAGGAAATGTGTAGCCAGGTGTTACAACACAAATTCTGGGCAGATTTTTGAAAATGTATTAGTATTTTAAGACATAGCAAGTTCGCTACAAAGGTCATTCACCTATGCGAGAAACATTAAGGATTTTAGTGCATGCAGACGGATATGGGGAAGTCCTATTATCTTTGTTAACTTTTTGCTTTGGTTGGAATTCCACTTGGATTATAAAACTATTGGAAGGAAAAAACCCAGACCTGAGAAATTAGGACAAGACAGTTAATGACATCTCCCATGCATGGATTAAACAGATCACTAAGTTAGCCATTGGTGTTGTTTGTAAGCATAAAGTTAATCCAGTACAAAGGTGCTCTCTTTGGCAATTTTTATAGCTACTATGTACCACCATCCTCAATACAGTAAGAAGTCGCATTGCAGAAAAACCCAGATTGATATGCCCTTCAAGAACCTTTATATTTTTTCAATGATATAAAAAATTAATGTTTCTTTCAATCACTTCATTTTCTACTGGGCACTGAAGAGTTGGTGTCACACACTGGACTCAAAACAAACAACCCGACAGACTTTGAGAAAACCATTTAAATGATAAATAGGGTTTTGAAGACGAGATCAACATGCTTTCTGCCCCACCCAATTTGCATCAATGCCATCAAATATAAATGTACAGCCAGCTACATTTCTCACTCTCTTGCAAATAGAATACAAATGAATACAAAGACAGATACTGATCCCTAATCTGCATTGTAATAACTTTTAGCGTCTTGAACACAACCTAATTTGCGCTAAGCCTTTTTGGAGAATTACACAAAAGAAAACAAATTCTAAGACTGGGGGGTGGAAAGCATCTTTCAAACTAATTGCTACATCCATTCTGAGCATCGTGACTAATGGCTAATAATAGTTCAATGATGGAATATTTCCATGTGTCACTCCAAATGAGATGACTCCATTATGTGAATGCAGAAGCAACAGAGAGAGTAATTTACTCCGTGATTCCTTTGCTGCCTTTATGAAATGAACTGCCAATGAGCAGTTCATCATTACGCGTCAACCACTGACTTCTAAACAGCAACGATTGCTCCACTTTCATCTACTACTACATTAACTCCTAAAAGAAGAATTTTTTATGCTAATTCAGTCAAGTTTGTGTTTTGTGTCTCAATACTTTTATTGTCCCTTTCCCAACCTATGTGTTACCCTTACAGATTTATTCCAGTATCTTGTGTCGTAATTAATGCTTAGAGTATTTACACATCATTTACACATTTGGTTCTCCACTCTGTATCCAGTAAGTCTGTCTTATTAACCTTTCCTCCTATTCCTGGTGTCATCTGTCCGTTTGCTTTTTGGGTTAAATTAACAGAGTTTAGTTTATTTTGTCCTGGAACAATCTTGTAATTTTAAAGAGGTTTCAGTGGAGATAAAGACTGTAGTTAAGACTCAAGTCTCACACTACAAGTCTGGTAGTCTAGTCAAAGTAAAAGCATGTTTCTTTAGGGCACAAATCTAATGTAATTTTATGAGGTAATTTTACAGGTAATTGCAATTTAAGTGAATCTTGAGTCCAAATTTCAAACTCCAGGCCCTGTTTCTGCTGTTAAACATCAAAATGTTCAAGTGTTTCAAGTTGATAAACTGGCATGTATATGAATATATTACAGCTCACAAAAATACAACTGTGGCAGTGAGTTGCAGAACTGCTGATATTTTTTATTTTCTTTGCCTAAAAGAATGCTTACAATTTGAAAAAAAAAGAAACCGTTTTAGAAACAGCAGCCGATATAAATGCTTTAATTAGTTGTTTTACTTCGCTGGCCGTAACAAGACAAGACACTGATTTATTGTTAACGTCCAAACTTTTAATCCTCCTGTTTCCTCCCTCTCTCCCTTCCTCTGACCATCCTTCCATTCGTCTCTATCACACACATTCTCGAACACGAGCAATTGACCTCGGTGAGAGCGTTCCAACTGTGTAAGCTGGGCCATGTAGGCGGCAGTAAATAGGAATTATCTGGCCTGGAAAGGTCAACTGATCTGGACTCTTGCTGGAGGGCCCTCTGGTTACACCCTCAATCAGAGGATGCTTTCAAAGGCCAAAAACCCTCAGTCCATTTCTCTCCAATTGAACTTCCCAAACCATTAGGCTGTAACAAATGGCTGTGTGCGCACACCCTGTGGACACATTGCTGTATCGCTCACTGCTAATGATAGCTGTGGGGAAGTAGCTGAAGCTGTGTTTCTGACTCGTGTTCACTTTATTGTATGATATTAGCCAATCTTCAATTACGAACAATAAAAATGTAACTAATGTTATGAAGCAGCTATGTGCAAACATCTTCATGTTGAGTATATTTAAGGTAAGAAAAGAAAATACAGTAAAAATCAACTGTACAAGGACTGCATATACAACAGCATATATTCATACAACAGCATATATTCATGTCTAAGAAAACATTAGAACCTCAAAAAATTCAATGTGAACATGGATTCAATGAACCTGCTGTAAACTGTAAAACTGATTTGACAATATAAAGACGATTGTACCACAATGTGAGAAAAC